CCACCCCCTTGGGCCGCGCTCGAGGAGCACGCGACCCCCTGCCGCTCTGACACCGGCAAAACGTGGACTGAACTCCCAGCCGACGATGCCACCGATGCACGCGCGGATGCCGAGCCCGTCGGCGAAGCCGCCCTCGTTGACACCTGTGCTCCAGCCGCCGCCGAGCAGCCCGCAGACGCCGGAAGCCCGCTCCCTCCACCAGGAGACGACGTCCATGCGCCGTCACCCCCTCCGTTGGCCTCTGGGGCCCCAGGGGGGCAGAGGGCATCTCCTCCGCGAGGGGCGCTTCGCCACAGCAGGCACGCTGCCAAGCTGCGGCCACTCGGCGTCGACCGTGCCGGCAAGGAGCCGCGCGAGCTGGGCAGCGCCCCCCAGTCCGCATCCGCTTGATGCCCAAGCCGAGGGCAGCAGCGGCCTCATTGCACTCCCTCTTGGCCTCCACCTGGTCGTCGGGGGCGGCTGTGCGGAGGCGTTCGGCAGCCTCCTGGAAGTCCTTCTGCTTCTGCTCGAAGCCGTCGTCCAGGAGCCCCACGTCGACATTCGAGGTCGTGGTCGTCGCCGTCGCCAGCAGGGACATGCTCGCCATCATGTCCTGCTCCACCTGGCTCGGGAGCGTCTCCTCCGTCACCAGGGCGCGGACTGGGGCCGCCAGCAGGAGGACCAGCAGCTTGACGAGCCCGCTCAGCCTCAGCATCGGCATCTTGCTGGAGCCTCTGCAGGGTCGCGAGCGCCGCGCGGCCGCCGAGCTGGACAGCCATGCCGACACCGCCTTGATGGCGTTGGAGAACTCGCTGGCGTGGGCCCTGCACAGCAGGGACTCGGCGCCCTCGAGGTCCTCCTTGGCATTCGCGATGGACTCCTCGAGCGTCGCCAGCTCAGCGTCCAGGGAGAGCTTCTGGCGCCCGGGGTCCTCAGCACGAGCCACCTGCTTCTTGATCTTCGACGTGAGGGCCTCGACGGCCTCGACCTTCAACGAGCGGCCTGCGACGTGGGAGGCTTCTGTTCGGACTCCGTCGCCCTGCGCTCAGCCTCCTCGACCGCCACGATCGCCGAGCTGTCGATCCCCGAGCGTCTTGAGGTAGTCCAGCACCTCTGGCGGCGCCGCGGCGCCGGGGGGGTGGGCCCCGCCCACGGAGGCTGCGCATCGCCGCCCGGGGGCGAGGACTTGCCGGTGGGCCGCGGGGCCCTGCTGCTGCAGCTCCTGGAGCTGCTGGAGCATCGTCGCCGCACCGCCCGAGCCAGGAGGCCCCCTGGGCCCACAGAGCCCGCAGCTGCCGCTCGGCCCCAGGAGCAGGAGCCTCCGCAGCCGCTGCCGCCTCCTTCGCCGCCTGAGTGGTCCGCTGAGACGCTGGCCGACCGCACTGGCGACGTGCCATCCTCGGCGCCCAGACGTCATGGCTGCCGCCGGCACAGCCCCAGAGGGGCATGCGCGCCCCCGCCAGGACCAGGCAATCGGGAGGACTCATGAACTGCGGGATGCGTCCCGCGGAGAGAGCACTGGAGAGCAGCCGAAGGCACGCAAGCGCGAGCCGTTCTGAAGTACGCGCTTGCAAGCTCAGGCTACAACTGCCTGAGCCAGAACGGCTGGAGGACGAGGAGGAGGAGGAGGAGGAGGAGGAGGAGGAAGAGGGGGAGGAGGAGGAGGAGGAGGAGGAGGAGGAGGAGGAGGAATTGGGAGGATGAGGAGGAGCAGGAGCAGGAGCAGCAGGAGGTGGAGCGCGGCGCTGCGGAGTCAAAACGTAGACCCTATATACAGGAGGGCTGAAAGACAAGGTACTCGGGGATGCAGAGCCTTTTCCTGGGAAGAGGTCCAGGCTTCTGGGGGGCACGTTGATTTGTTCAATTACACTCCGGTCGTTGGAAGTAGCTATTTCTGGATTCCCAGGCCTCAAGGTACTTCAAGCGCCTTCCTACTTCAAGAAGCGATATTTGTTTCCTGCGTTTTGTTATTTTCTGGGAGGGCCTGGGCCCAATCTACTTTATCCGCCTTCCTACTTCATTATTGTACCTACTTCTTCCGACCAGCGGATCGCCTGGCGAACAACCCAACCTTTTTTCCCGACCCAGGCTCCGCCTAGAAGGGTTCTTGCTCGGTGAGATTAAAGGGCCGAGCAGTGTTGCCCGCCCCGGGCGGTTCCCCCGGCATCCGCCCCGCGGTTCCCCCAGTTGCACCTCCTGGGTTCACCCAGCTTAGCTAAACTAAGCTTAGCCTAGCTTAGCTTAGCTTATCCCATCGTAGCTTAGCTTAGCTTAGCTTTGCTTTGCGTTGCTTTGCTTAGCCTAGCTTAGCTTAGCTTAGCTTAGTGTAGCTTTGCTTAGCTTGGCTTAGCTTAGCTTAGCTTAGCGTAGCTTGGCTTGGCTTAGCTTAGCTTAGCTTAGCCTAGCCTAGCTTAGCTGAACTTAACTTAGCCTACCTGAGCTTAGCTTAGCGCAGCGCAACATAGCGCAGCACAGCATTAGCACAGCATAACACAGCATATCATAGTTAAGCGTAGTCAAGCATAGCATAGCAGAGCATAGCAAAGCATAGCATAGCTCAGCATAGCTCAGCATATCATAGCATATCGTAGCATAGCATAGCATAGCGCAGCATAACATATCATACCATAGCATTGCTTAGCATAGCGCAGCGCATAATGGCATAGCATAGCACAGCCAAGCACACTCAACCGAAAAAAAAAAACACAACAACAAAGGCAAAGGCAACAGCAATGGCGAGAGCAACAGCAAAGGCAATGCAAAGCACAAGCAACACCAATGCGAACGTGTAGATGTAGATGTAGGTGTAGGTGTAGGTGTAGATGTGGATGTAGGTGTAGATGTATATGTAGATGTGGATGTAGGTGCAGCTGTATGTGTATATGTAGATGTAGATGTGAGTCTCGCTGTTGATGTTGATGTAGATGTAGATGCAGGTGTAGGTGTAAATGAAGCTGTCGGTGTAGATGTAGATGATGCTTTCCTAAATGCTCCAGCTCCTAGGTATGGTCGCACTGGGATAATCAAACAAAGGGCGAGTATAAGCATGACGGCGCACTGCACTTGAGCACGACAACCTCGCCAAAGACGGTCAGATCGCGCACAGAGTTCCCCACTCACGTGTAGACTGCCGCAAATGGAGTGAGTATGGACCCCCCGCCACGCGGCGACGCGAAACGAGGGACGGGTGTGCCGAAATGGGCGGGGCGCCGCCATGCGAACGCACCCAGCTGGGCCCTCGGTGGAGTTCGTTTGAGGGCAGGAAGCATGTGAAAGGTGCCGAAGTAAGGGGGGACACGCCATGCGAACGCACCCACTGGGGCCCTCGGTGGAGCTCCCTGGGAGGCTGGAGATGCGTGAGGGGTATGTCGACATGAGCGGCGCGCCGCCATGCGAACGCACCCACTGGGGCCATCGGTGTGACTCCTGTGGGGCCACGGAACGTGTGAGGTCAACGCCATGCGAACGCACCCGCAGGGGCCCTGGGAGGAGCTCCTTGGGAGGCAGGGAACGCGTGAGGGATGTGCCGAAGCCCGGGGCGACGCCATGCGAACGCACCTACTGGGGCCCTCGGTGGAGGGGGGGGGCAGGAAGCGCGTCACGGGTGTCCCGAAATGGGCGGGGCGACGCCATGTGAACGCACCCACTGGGGCCTTTGAGGGGCAGGGAAGGTGTTAGGGGTGTGCCGATCTGGGCGGGGCGACGCCATTCGAATGCATCCACTGGGGCCCTCGGTGGAGCTCCCTGCGGGCCACGGCACGCGTTAGGGTGTACCGCAATGGGCGGGGCGACGCCGTACGAACGCACCCACAGGGGCCTTCGGTGGGGCTCCCTGGGGGACAGGGAAAAGTTACGGATGTGCCGAAATGCGTGGGGCAACGCCACGCGAACGCACCCGCAGGGGCCCTCGGTGGAGCTCCCCATGGGGTCACGAGGCGTGTGAGGGGTGTGCCGGTACGGGCGCGGTCACGCCATGCGGACACCCTAATTGGGGCCACAAGGGGAGCTCCTTATGTGGCAGGAAACGCGTGTGGGGTGTGCTGAAATAGGCCAGGGCAGGCAGATCAGATGAGCAAACGAGGAGGAATGAGGAGGAGGAATGAGGGAAGGAAGGAAAGAAGGAAGGAAGGAAGGCAGGAAGGACTGAAGGAAAGAGGCGCGCCGCGCTGCGGATTCAGGACGAGGTTCAGCCCACGCTGCCACGCCAAGACACGTGCGAAGAGGCAGGAGGTGAGGAGGCGGGCCGCGGCGCCGCGGGCTCAAAAGCGAGGACCCGACACGCAGGAGGTTTTGGGAACAGCAAACACAACACACACAAAAACACACACACACACGACGTCGGATGTCTGGGCCCCATCCCCGTCTCAGCCGAGGAAGAGGTGCGGTCGGACCGAGCTCTGAAATCGAGGCCGGCTCGGGGAGGGCGCCCTAATGTTCGTCTCGTGTTTTGTTGAATGTTCTTGTGCGTCCTGGGGAAGGGTGCCCTCGAGTACGTTTTTCACTTTGGGCCGGCGGAGGGTCTCGTGTTCTTGAGGGGTGTTCCTCTGTCCCAGGTCCGAGCGTAGCAGTATCGATGTTCTTTGGTTGTCCCACCCCGTCCTTCTTCGCCCGTTCCTCTTCCGTCCTCCTCGCCGGCCTTCTGCTCCTGCGGCTCCTCCTCCTCCCAATGCTCCTCCTCCTCCTCCTCCTCCTTCTCCTCCTCCTCCCCGCTCCTGCTCCTCCGCCACTTCCGCCTCATCTTCCTCCAATGTACACATTCCCCCTGTCTGAACGCGCATCGCACGATGGGGCCATATGTACACAACTCCCCCCCCCCACCTGTCTGAATGCGCATCACACGATGGGGCCATGTGGGGGAGCCAGGGTAGGGTGTCAGATATGGCGCGACCGCATCAAACTTGATTGCCTCCCTCCTCCCTCCTGCCCCCTCTCTCCTTCTCTTTCCCTTTTCTCCTTTCCCTTCCTTCCCTTCCCCTCACTCCACTCCTCTTCCCTCTCCTCCATCTCCTCTTCCCATGCAGGTGCTCGGCCGACGACCTGGCCAAGGCGCTGAAGAAGGACCACCTCGTGGTGCTGAAGGACGGCTCGTCGTTCGTGAACTCCGTGGCAGCAGGGGGAATTTCAACCTTCCCACCTCTTCCCAGCCATGCTCGCGATGGAAGGTGTTCGGCCATCTTTGGCATCCTGGGGCCCTGCCTGGGCCCCAGGACTGCCCAACAAGATCAACAGCCGGGATCGAAAACTAGCCCCTTCGGAGTGTGTCGGGGCTTCGGGGACCGCACGCTGAACATATCGAAGCGTGGGAGGTCAGAGGTCCGGCGTGTCGGTATACGGTGGCAGAAGATGGAGGCCAGGCCAGACTGTGGCGGGGACCGAGCGGGGTCGTCGGCGTGAAAGATCTGAGTTCCCCGTTTGAGCGCCATGTGCTGTGCTCTCCGCCGCTGACCGACCCATCCAGGCCACCATCCCGAAGGCGCCCGTGCGCTGGCAGGGACATGTCGAAACGCGTGCACCGCTATCGATGCAGCAGGGCGATGTGTTTGGAGCGGGTGCGCCAGGCTGGCCTACCCCAGCAGCGTCATGTGCCGTGCGTAGGCGTCTTGGCCGCCAGCGTGCCCTGCACGCCATGTCCAAAACGCGACGCTTCCAAGAGTTTCGGACTGGTCGCGGCGACGAGCCCGGGGGGGGCACACCCCTTGGGCTCAGGCGGGGTCCCCGCCGAGGAGGAGAAGGAGTAGGAGTAGGAGGAGGAGGAGGAGGAGGAGGAGGAGGAGGTCCCCTCCAGGCCACCATCCTGAAGGCGCCCGCGCCCGAGCTGCACGCCCAGGCCCAGCTGTGGGGAGCCCTGCTCGCCGGCCGGGTCGCGGGCCTGCTGGACCCCGCCGCCGCCGCCCAGGGCCTGGCGGAGAAGGGCTCGGCCCCGGGCTCGCAGCCCCGCGCGCCGCTCCTCCTCCTCCTCCTCCTCCTCCTCCTCCTCCTGATCACAGCGAGACCCAGGCCCGCTCGCGTCGCGGACACATAAAAATACCACGGGAGCTGTTTCCCCACTTGTGCGGCCTGTCGGAGCCCGCGCCGGGCCCCAGGGCAATGAAAAAACGACTCGGGATGGAAAGCCGGTCCCGGGGAGTGGGCCCAGGCCTCTGGGGGCTGACGCTGGAAAGCAAAAACATGACGTCGGGGGTGCAGAGACCTGGGCGTTGCTCGGCCCCATGACGTTCGGAGCTCGATCCGGCTCGAAAGGTATGGTTCAGACCGTGAAATCCTGGAATGTCGGATTTGTCGCAACGTCGGATCTCAGAGAGTTGTGGGCGCGTGTGTATAGGCGCTTGCGTGTGTGACTATGTTAATGTAGTTGTCGATTCCCGACTTTGATCACATGCGCATGTATCCACTTACACAGATCGAATAGAGAGAGAGAGGAACAACAACATAAAACAATACTGTGAGAGAGAGAGAGAATAAGAAAAGAGAGAGGGAGAGAGACGAGAGAGGGCATGCTCATGCTGTCGATAGTCGTTCGTTCAGAAGTTGGACCCGTGCGCCGCTTCCATCGGTTGCATCGTTCTCGCCGGCGGCTTCTCGGGGGCGCTCGCCTTGCTCCGGACGCCTTCCAGAAGCGAGACAGGTGGCCTCAGAGCGGGTCTGCGCTCGTCTCCTGTGGTCAGGAGGGGAGGGGCAGGGGAAGTGACCGAGCGAGGCAGGCCCAGATGCCTACAGTGGAGACCCATGCCAAGAAACACCCTGCTTGCCTCCAGGGTGCCCTTGGTTTCTTGGGTTTCGATGGCGTGACGCTTCCACACCAAAAGACGTCCAGGGGTCTCAGGGTTGGTTTCTTGTGGAAGGTGTTTTTTGGCCTGGCCTCCACTGTATATCCAGCTCCCCCTGTCTGAGCCCTCGGAGGAAGATCATCCAAGTAATCCAAACTCACCCCTTCTCGGGTATCGCCCTCGATCGCCCTTCTCCCGCTGGCGATCTGCGTCACGCAGAGTGCCCCGGTCGGTCTGCGAGATGTCCAGACCAGCGCGAGCGTCTCGCAATCGGGACCCCGACATGCGACGTCGCGTTTTTCCACTGCGCGGTGGACGTTCTGACGCTTTCCCCAGGACCAGTTCGTCATCCCGAGACGTTGTTTGACGGTCCCGGGGCCCAGTGAGGGCCCCCAGAGGCAGAAAATTTGGAAAATTGCCCCTCGTGACGTTTCACGATGCGATCATGCCTGGGCATGGGACATGCGCGGGTCAAAATTCCCCAGCCCAGAGGTCTCCACCAGCATGGGCTTGGCTCTGGCCACCGATTTGTTGGGGGACGTCTGCCGCAGCATCGGATAATTTGTGTCTCCGCTGGCGCCGAAAGCCTTGGAGCCTCTGGGCAGTCGGCTTTCCCGCCCGCGACGTCGGCCGGCAGGAAAAGGCCTCCCGGGAGCCCCTCGTTACCACCGCTGGGTTCGCCTCGACATTCTTGTCAGAACGCACCCCACGAGAGGTCCGCGGAGTAGCGGTACCGCGGCACGTCTTGCTTTCCCCAAGACTGGAGGCGTCGGCGCCACAAGTTTGAAGCCCTCGCCTTATGATGAGCCAACCTACCTCAGCTTTGACCACCAGAAAGAGTTTCGAGCACCAAGAAAGTACCGAACCTGGAGGGTCTTCACGTGTCGGGCCCTATGGGAGGCGATACTCGTTCGACACTGTTTCCATACTTTTCTGGAATGTGGCCCTCGAGTGCATAATCCTCGCCGAGCTCCTGCCGTCGGCGTGGGAATTCACCCGTCTCCCATCGGCAGGGCACCTTCCGATCCGAGGGGTCGGTCCGATGCGCTGTCGGCCCCCGCTAGCCCGATTCGATTGGGTTCCGAGGTTCGGACGACCCGATAGGGCCCGATGCTTTCTTCGCGCTGTTGTGCACCCTGGCGCAGCCAATCCGATTCGATGCCGTCTCCGTGCCGATGCGGTCCGATTCGATGCACGTTCCGATTCGATGAGGAGGAGGAGGAGGAGGAGGAGGAGGAGGAGGAAGAGGATTTGTTGACTGAGCTTGATGGTAACGAACGGACCGTCCACCAGCGGAGGCAGTGATCGTTGGAGCCGTTCTGGGGCTCCGCCTCGCGCGGCCTGCCGAGGTCCTGTGCATCCCTCCGGCGCCGTTCGCCGAGGCCACCGTCGGGGCTTCGGATGTGTGTGTGTGTGTGTGAGTGTGCGCACCGAGCCGTCGGGTGGGATCTTCGCCGCGCCGCGGCCGAGTGCCCTGCGCCATGCGATCACTCTGCCCCTGTTCTAACCCTCTTCCCGCTCCCCTCTACTGTTTCTCCTCCCCGGCCTTCCACCCCCCCGCCTCCCAGCTCTCTCGATGTTGAGGTGGACATCATCCCTCACAGGATTCAGTCTGCCCATGTCCTCACTCTCAGTCTCGGCCCCGTTTCGCACTTACACTGGCGATGAGCCTTTATCCTGATGCAGATGCAGACGCCTCCCCCCTCACCTCGCTGCTTCTACCCTGGCTCCCTGTGGGTACATTTCTGGATCGAGACCCGTGTTGGCCCCTGCGAGGCGCGCTCGCCAGACGTCCCGCTTGGGGAGGTCCAAGAGGGTTTCCCGTGTCTGCTTCGTGCCCACACCGTGCGCTGGCTGGGCTTATCCGCCCCCCTCCGAGTATGGTGCTTCATATTATGCACGATCTCTTTTGTTAACTTACACATGATACAATGCCAGCTGACCCAGCATTCGCCCCTCCCCCCTGCCCACCCCCATTTGCGGTGCGCACGAGTTGATCTAACAAGCGCGCTTTGTCGTACTACTCACTACATAATGTGATTCGGTTCAAGTGCGCGCATATGGCAAAATCTCTGCACAGCCCCTGGCACCTGATGGGTCTGCAAAGTCGACCATCCAATCATGCTTTGCCCTCGAACATGGCCACGATTCTATGTGCGCGCGCAGCCGCTGGAATCACACCAACGTCGCACGGTTGACTTACAAGTCCGTCGAACGGGAGTACGTTTGCCACACTCGCGCGCGCATGTCGCAGGCATCCAACAACACCCGCGCACCCCTCAACTTAACCAGCACCATGCGGGCCACACGCGCGCGTCTCCACGCGGACGGCGAAATCCTTCCAAGACTTGTTGACTGTATGAAAAAAGTGGCTTTGTTCAACAGCACGTCTATCAGTCATCGTCGTCCTTGCCGCCTCCAAGTTGGGCTTTGGCAACCAGTTGCGGGTGGGTGGGATGTTTGCACGAGCATCGGAGGTGGTCACTTGCTGATGCCAGCCAGGCGATTTCCACCATGCGTACCACCCTGCCCTTCCCCTCCAGGCTTATCGATCCCCCTGGAACACTTCAAATTGCTTGCAATCGTTCGGGGTCACATGTTTTTGGGATGATTCCGACACTCGCGCGTGACAGCGCGCGCGTGTGGCTCGTACAGTATGTTGTGATACAGATTCGTGCATTGGGCGCATGCAAGATGCTAGATCAACGCGGGTGCGCCACGTAGTGGCATTAGAGTACGGGTTCTGGACGAGATTTCGAAAACCAAACGGTGTTCCAACTATTTCAGCAAATTCGCGCGTTCAAAGCATCTGCCAGATTCGTGATGGGAAAGCAAAGGGGTTGTTGATGTTGCTATGTTGGAACTTGCGCAAATGGTGCGTTGGGATTGAATTCGACGTGTGCTTGCGCGTGTGGACGTTCAATATTTTGTGCAAGGTGTTCTTGGACAATGAACCGCTGTCCCAGACATCCGACGTTTTTATGTTTTTCAAAGACGCCCCCCCCCCGTAGGCCCCCTGTTTGCGCAACTACAACCAAGTGCGTGTATTCCTCATCTACAACTAGTAGATCCTCACGCCGAATCAAAACCCCTGATAGTGCAGGCCCCCCACACTTGAAAGCCTTGTGTGGTAGCCTTTACACGAGGATCCCTTTTGTGGCAATGCTACACCGGATTCTCATTGTGTGGGATGGGATCAGCAGAGGCCGCCACACTTATAATTTTTCGTAGAAGCCTGTACGTAGAGATCATTTCTGTGGTGGCCTGACAAAAAGGGTTTCGCTTGTGGGGGATCTGCAGTGGCATGCACCGTGGGCCCAGGAAGGCTGGAGATGAAACCGGGAGAACCAGCACACACATTAAAAAGGTGCCTGCACAAAAAAATATTAAACAGTTGAGACAACCTGTGGCTGTCGGTATTTTTGTAGTGCAGATACTCCACAGTTTATGTATGGTTAATACCTGCACAAAGGATAATCACTTTTGTGGCGGCCGAACAGAACAGAGTGTTTCAGGCTACCACAAAAGAATCCGTTTGTACAGGCTGATACAAAAGGTTTCTTGAAGTGTGAAAGACATTGCATATTCCCCACATTCAAAGTCCTCTTACAAGATCAATACGTAAGGTATCCTTTTGGACAGGTTCCTACACAATAAGTTTGATGGTGTGGCATCTGCACCATAAACATATAGACAGTCACATATGTTCCTTTCTCGGGTTTCCCATGTGAGAGCACAAACAGTTTCCCATGCTTCCTGTTTTTTTTCTCCGTTTTGTCCCTCTAGCTTTCTCGGGCTCGAGGCGCCGTCATTATATATCCCCCAGAAGTGATGTTTTTGTCAGGCCGCCTCAAAGGAATTCTTGTGTACAGGCTGCTACAAAGGTGTGGATGCCACTGCTGATCCCCACAATGAGAATCCATGTGTAAGTCCGCCACAAAGGAATACTTTTGTGAAGGCGTTACACAAGGGCTTCAATTGTGGAGGCCGCCGCAGACTCTTACAGCTACAATCCTCTGTCCGGTCGCCGCAATTCGAAAATTGTTTGCAAAGGCTTCTACAAGGGGGTCTTTTGTTGCAACCTTGCTTTAAGTTGCATCCTTTCTGCAAGGCCGTCACACGAACAATTTATGTGTCAAGCACGGCCGCTACAGGTGAGATAATGAGGATGAGGATGAGGATGAGGATGGTGATGTTGATGCTGATGATGATGATGATGATGAGGAGGAGGAGGAGGAGGAGGATGCCGATGGAAACGATGCTTGGCGGTTCGTTTTTTTCGTTGCATTCGTATAGGCGAAGGGTCGCACACGGTCCCCCCCTGGAAGCCCCGACCCATCTCCCTTTTCCACAGGGGCCGGTTTTCATCCCGCATCGTTTTGGTTCGGGACTTCGCAAAGGGGGGGGTTGCCACAGGGGGGGTGGGGGAGTTCGGTCCGTTGGCGCATCAAATTGCAGAAAAACGATGCAAAACGAAGTCTCCGGCCGCAACCGGACCCCGAGAGGTGTCGACAATCGGGGCGCGCGGGGGGGCATCGTTTTTCTGAAATTCGACCCTGCGACGAGAGCACATCTGGGGTCGGCCTCGCCGCCGCCCTCGGCGCGGCGTCGGCATCGTCGAGGTCGGCGCCGTCGTCCCCGAGGCCAATTGGCCTCTCCCCCCGCCGGCGGGGGCGCAGCCAGGCCCTGCCCACCGCTCGCTCCGCCGTCGTGCTGCTCGCCTGCCTCCACGAGCGGGGCCGCGGGGACGGGGGCCAGGGCGCCGGCGCAGGACCCCCCCCGCCGGGGGGAAGGACGGGAAGGAAGGCAGGAGGCCAGGACCTTGGCATCGCTTGGACGTGTGCATTTTTCCTTCGGCGAGGAGCATCGAGGAGCATCCTGGATCATTTGGCGAAAAAGCCACGCACGCAACCGAAAAAGGCACAGGGAATGGACGCCCGAGCGATGGGCAGAGGAGCCGCTCAGGAGAGCCCGCCCTCTGCATGGCCGTGCCGTCGCCGCCGCCCGGAGAGCGCGCGCCGCGTCCCTCGCGGACCCCGCCCTCTGGGTGAGTCAAGCAGTGGCGAAGCGTCCTGACCCGCATATAGCCCTTTCAAGCAATGTTCTAATAACCTTTTGTGGCTTCCACGACATGTTCTTAGAACTTTCTGGTTGAAATTGCCTTGCTTTGACGCATCGGGTTTAGGTTCTGAGAACAGAGTTTTTGTTCTTAGAACATTTGCGGGTTCTAAGAACATTCCGTGGTAGGACTATAGGAATGCTGGGACGGTCGGTCCCTGCTCCAGTGAGACCGCTTCCGCTCGACGCTCAAAGCGGACCCCCCGGGGGGCCGGTCGAACAGCTCCCCAGACTCGAACCCCGAGGTCATTGGGCTCGACGGGCGCGCCTGCTGGAACCAGCCGAGACCAAGTCCCAACGTCTGCTAGACAGGGCATCTCATCCATGACACCTGGGCCAGATCGAGCCGTCGAGGTGACCGCACGGGGCACCGGCAGGGCCGTAGTGGGCCCTGGAAACGACAGGGCCGTCGTGTTACCGGTTCCGTTTTGCCGTTTTTTTGCGGGTTCCGACGCAGTTTTTTTACCGGTTTTGTCGCCGTTTTTTGATCGGTTCCGGCTCCGGTTCCGATCCTGGAGCAGTTTTTGTTGCCGTTTCCAGTCGCCGTTTTTTTGCCGTTTCCATTTTCAAGGGACATGTTTTTGGGAAAGAGTGAAAAACCGGCCCTGCCGTTTCCGGGGCCCACAAAGGCCGGTCGGGGCTCGGCCTTCGCCAGAGTGGCCTTTGGTGCGCGGCTTTGGGGTGGCGCGGGGGAACCACACCCAAGCCCGCAGGCCGCCACTGTCTCAGGTTCTTGCCCTCATTTCCCCGGACCAGCGACTGCCCGAAAGTTGTGTCGCTCATAGTTTCGCCCGAATTGGGGTGAAAGTTGAGGTCCCTGGGGTCGCCGCGACCCAGGCGCTGCAGTGTCGATGCCGATGGCGGCGAGGATGATAAGGACAAAGATGATGACGACGACGGTGGCAGTGACAGATGATATAATGACGACGGTGATGATGTTAGTGTTAGTGGTGATGAAGAGGGCGATGATGATGATGCTGATGATGATGATGATGATGATGATGGTGACGATGATGGTGGAGATGATGATGATGCTGATGATGATGATGATCCCCGCGTCTGAAGGGGTCAGGAATGATGATGATGATGATGATGATGATGATGATGATGATGATGATGATGGTGATGCTGCTGACGATGATGATGATGATGATGACGATGATGATGATTGTTGTGATGACGATGATGATGATGGTGATGGTGATGACGGTGGAGATGATGATGGTGATTATGATGCTTATGATTATGATGATGCTGATGATGATGATGATGGTGGTGGTGGTGATGATGATGACGACGACGATGGTGATGATGATGACGATGATGATGATGATGGTGATGATGATGGTGATGATGGTGATGACGATGGTGGAAGCAATGCGTAGCAGGAATTATGGCAAGGGACAAACGGCAACATTGACGAAAGCGACGACGAGCGCGACGAGTGCGGCAATGACCTGCTCGAGAGCTGCATTTGTTCCTTCACAGTGAGATGCGAAGGTTCCGACGATCGCGACGCCGACGACGATTGCGATCGTTGCCACGGCGGCCCCCCTACGACCCCGACGTCGATAATGAAGACGAGTACGGTGAGCACCACGAGCACGACTACGAGGAAAGGGACAACTGCGACGGCGCCACCCAGACGACCCCGACGACCAGTACGACGACGAGTACGACGACAAGTACGACGACGAGTACGACGAGCACGACATCGACGACGAGTACGACGACGATGACGACGACCGCTGCGACGGCGTCGGCCTCGGTGACGACCGGTAGCGGGCGGCAGCGGCGACGGCGAGGACGACGATGACGATGATCAATTAGACGTAAGAGTGACCCTTCGCCGGAGTGACCTGGTGCGGGCCCATTTGGGCCCCCCGATCGCCGAGCGCGATGCGACGGTAGCGTATTGCGCGCTTGTGTTCGGTCCCCCCGCGGCCCCCCAAACGCCGCGCACCAAAGGTCACTCTTACCCAGCGTCACTCTTGCGTGCAGCCGAGATGACCAACGCGGCGACAACGAGGACAACGCTGACGAATGCAGTGAGTACGACGGCGCCTCCCAAAGAACGAGGACGACGACGGCGACGGCGACGGCGACGGCGACAGCGACGACGACGACGGCGACTGCGACGACGAGGACGACGAGGACGGCGACGGCGAAGACGACGACGACGACGACGACGGCGACGACGACAGCGACCGCGACGGCGACGGCCAACGCGACCGCGACGGCGTCGACGGCGACAGCGACGGTGGCGACGCCGACCAGGGCGCCTCGCGCGGGCCAGTAGCGCCTTTGGAGTACGGCGCCGACGCCCACCGGGATGGCACCGACAACGTCGACGAATGCAGCGACTACGACGGCGACCCCCCGAGGACGAGGACCAGGACAATGACGACAGCGACCGCGACCGCGAAAGCAACGGCGACGACGGCGACAGCGATGGCGACGACGACGACTTCGACGATGACTGCGACGGCGACGGCGATGGCGACGGCGACGGCGACGGTGACGGCGACGGTGACGGCGGCGGCAGCGACGGCGATGGCGACAGCGACAGCGGCAATGGAACATCCGCCAGGATGGACGCCCGAAATGCAGCCCGAATTGGTGCCCGAGACGCTGCCCGAATTCCCACCCGAAATCTTGGCCCGAATTGTCGGGCTCTCCTATGCGAGCCAGCTCGCATTTGGACGGCCTGCACTTTGGGTAAAGATTCCAGGTGCATTCCGGGCAATTCGGGCAACAATTCGGACAATATTTCGGGCAACAGTTTGGGCGACACTTCGGAAGCAGCCCCAGGCAACACAGTAACCAGGATATGAAGAAGCTTGGAACTCGACGTCGTCTTCGTCGCTTGTCATCGTAGTCGGTGTCGTCGTCGTCGTCGTTGTTGTCGTCGTACTCGCCGTCGCAGTCACTCGTCATCGACATCGTCGTCGTCGTACGCGTTGTCGTCGTACTCGTCGTCGTCGCACTCGTCGGTGTAACCGAGATAAGGACATGCCAGATCTTATGATCCTCCGGGCGCAGCCCTGGGCCACTCCATGACCAAGATACCAAAGTATGTGATACTCAACTTCGAGACGTCGTTGTTGTTGTGTTCGTCGTTATCGTCGTCGTCGCCGGCGTCGTCGCCGTCGTCGTCGCCGGCGTCGTAGCCGTCGTCGTCGCTGTGGTCGTCGCATTCGTCGTCGTCCTTGTCTTTGCCTCCGTCGTCAGCGCCTCGCGCGGCCGCCGCCGGGCGCGTCGGCGCCGGGCCGGGGGACGGAGGACGGAGGAGAGTTACATCCACGCGCCACCCTCGGCACAGTGCCGGCACGCCGGCTGGCCCGAGTAGGGGTGCACGGGAGCGCCCCCTCGCGGGAGCCCATGAATTGTAGTGGGCATGTTATGGGAGGTGTGGTCTGGCTGGTGCGGTGTGGTCGGTATGGTGGAACTTTATATGGTGGGTATCGTTTGGTAGGTGTTGTGTGGGGGGGAGGGTGCGGCATGAACGGTAAGCTAGGTCGGGCATGGCAGGAATCTTGTGGCAGGTATGGCGTTACAGATGTGGTATGGTGTCTTAGGACTCTTTCGGGTGCCTCTTGAGCCATCTTGGGACCATCTGAGAGTATTCTTAGGCCGTTATGAGCTGACGGAAACACAAATGCGAAAATGCGACACACGGACGAAAACTACAGGGAGATACATGAATTCGGTTCTTTCGGACTGGGTTGGGAGTCGTCTCGTGGCCCTCTTGAAAACATCTCGGGCCGTCTTGACGCCATCGTGGGCCGCCCGGCGTCGTCTGGGCCGTCCGGGAAGCTCGGGAGCGCAGACCCATTGTCTTATACTAGAGTTAAGTCGGGCGTGTCCCTCTGCAGGGGGAATATTCAAAAATAGTCAAAAAAATATTCACTGCGTGGGGATCCCCATATGTGCATCTCCTTGCTGGCGCTCCCTTGGTGGTGGGACTCGGTGAGGACGAATCTGGATTTAAGTGTGACTGAGCTGCCTCTCTCTCTGCTCTCTCTGCTCTCTCTGTCTCTCTCTCTCTCTCTGCCCTCTCTCTGTCTCTGCCTCTCTTTCCCTGCCTCTCTCTCTCTCTCTGCCTCTCTCTCTGCCTCTGTCTCTCTGCCTCTCTCTCTCTCTGCCTCTCTCTCTGTGCCTCTCTCTCTCTGCCTCTATCTCTGCCTCTCTCTCTCTCTCTCTCTCTCTCTCTTCTCTCTATTCTCTCTCTGCTCTCTCCTCTCTCTCTCACTCTCCCTCTCTCTCTCTCTCTCGCTCTCTCTCTTCTCTTCTCTTCTCTTCTCTCTCTCTCTCTATCTCTCTCTCTCTCTTTCTCTCTCTCTCTCTCTCTCTCTCTCTCTCTCTCTCTCTTCTCTCTCTCTCTCTTTCGCTCTCTCGCTCTCTCTTGCTCTCTCTCGCTCTCTGTCGCTCTCTCTCGCTCTCTCTCTCTCTCTCTCGCTCTCACTCGCTCTCTCTCGCTCTCTCTCGCTCTCCCTCGCTCTCTCCCGCTCTCTCTCTCTCTCTCTCTCTGCTCTCTCTCTCTCTCTCTCTCGCTCTCTCCCGCTCTCTCTCTCTCTCTCTCTCTCTCTTTCTCTCTCTCTCTCTCTCTCTCTCTCTCTCTCTCTCTCTCTCTCTCTCTCTCTCTCTCTCTCTCTCTCTCTCTCTCTCTCTCTCTCTCTCTCTCTCTCTCCTCTCTCTCTCTCTCTCTCTCTCTCTCTCTCTCTCTCTCTATCTCTATCTCTCTCTCTCTCTCTCTCTCTCTTCTCTCTTCTCTCTCTCTCTCTCTCTCTCTCTTCTCTCTTCTCTCGCCTGTCTCCTCTCTCAACTCCCCCTCTCTCTCTCTCTCGCTCTCTCTCTCTCTCTCTCTCTCTCTCTCCTCTCTCTCTCTCGCTTCCTCTCTCTCTCTCTCTCTGCTCTCTCTCTCTCTCTCTCTCTCGTCACGGGCTCGTGAGATCAGCCAGGGTGGCTCCCCCTTGGGGCTCCCAAATGATGCCCCTGGCAGCGTTTTGTGACCATGAGGCTCTCAAGAGATACATGTTGGGGAGGCCAAACGGCAATTCTAGCTGAGGCGTCCCACCAAAATCGGCGCGAACGGGCTCGTGAGATCAGCCAGGGTGGCTCCCCCTTGGGGCTCCCAAATGATGCCCCTGGCAGCGTTTTGCGACCATGAGGCTCTCAAGAGATACATGTTGGGGGCGCCAAACGGCAATTCTAGCTGAGACGTCCCACCAAAATCGGCGCGAACGGGCTCGTGAGATCAGCCAGGGTGGCTCCCCCTTGGGGCTCCCAAATGATGCCCCTGGCAGCGTTTTGTGACCATGAGGCTCTCAAGAGATACATGTTGGGGGCGCCAAACGGCAATTCTAGCTGAGACGTCCCACCAAAATCGGCGCGAACGGGCTCGTGAGATCAGCCAGGGTGGCTCCCCCTTGGGGCTCCCAAATGATGCCCCTGGCAGCGTTTTGTGACCATGAGGCTCTCAAGAGATACATGTTGGGGGCGCCAAACGGCAATTCTAGCTGAGACGTCCCACCAAAATCGGCGCGAACGGGCTCGTGAGATCAGCCAGGGTGGCTCCCCCTTGGGGCTCCCAAATGATGCCCCTGGCAGCGTTTTGCGACCATGAGGCTCTCAAGAGATACATGTTGGGGGCGCCAAACGGCAATTCTAGCTGAGACGTCCCACCAAAATCGGCGCGAACGGGCTCGTGAGATCAGCCAGGGTGGCTCCCCCTTGGGGCTCCCAAATGATGCCCCTGGCAGCGTTTTGTGATCATGAGAGAGTGTGAGTGTGAGCTTAACTTATCTTATCTTATCTTGAAATCTCTTATTATCATATCTTGTGCTATCTTATCTTATCTTGTAGTATCTTATCTTGTCTTGTCTTATCTGGTGATTATCATTGGGAGGAGGGAGGCGCGAGCGGGAGGAAGAAGGAGGAGGAGGAGTGGGAGGCGTCAGAGTAATAACAAGAACCCCAATCCTTAGGATATGGGGAAAAAGTCTGGGGACGATTATTGGACAATTTTTTTGCCCATTGGGGGAGTATGTTTGGAGTATGTTTTATTTTTCGCCCAAAATCGCCCTGTAGGGGGACACGCCCGACTTAATACTAGAGACCGTTTCCCCTGGAGCGCTGCCCTATCGTTTTTCTTCACGCGAGATCATGGCCTCGGGAGTGGGTGGGATGCACGCGGTACTGCGCGAGAAGAGGGGGGTCCGTTTTTGGAATGCAGGGATCACGGTGGTTCCGCGAAGGAATTTGGTGTATACACGCGCCAGCATCCCACCGAGCCCCTTGGCCGACCAGACGACTTGGTGTACACTTCGAGCCCCTCCCAGAGTCGCCGGGATGAGGGCTGGAACCCTCGTCCTCAGGATCTGCGCCAGCTGGCCATGTACAGTCGGGGCCCTGAAGAAGGAACCCTTTTCGTTGGGGAGGGGCTCCGTGTTCCTTGATTGCTTTACAGTTTTCCTGGCGTTTTCTTTTGGTTTTCGATGGGAAATCGGAGTTTAACTTGTGGGAAAAAGGGGCCCCGTTCCTTATTTATCGTTCCTTAGGTCAACGCCCCGACTGTACTCTATCTCAGATGCCGTCTGTCAGTCGGAACGTCCACCATCTCGGAAGCATCTCAGAGCACACGTCCGAGAGTCGTGGCAAGGTGCCCGAGCGGGCTGCTGCGTGCGAGCCTGTTGATGTAACGTCAGCGACCTGCCGGCCGCGCTGCAGCAGCCTGCGATGAGTTCGTCTCGGCTGGTGCTGAACTCCTGCGCCGCCGCGAACCGGGCTGTTCTGGAGGGGAAGAAACACACAGACACAAGTCATCATCGATTCCCCTACAAAATATGGGAAATTATGGGAAGTGGGGGTGAAGACAAAAACCCAGAACATATTTGAAACTGTGTGGAATCCGGTTCTCTGTGTCTATCTGTTTGTGTGTCCCCGGGCCCCTTCACTCGTGCCCTCCAGGGTCGAAGAAGTCGGCGTCTCCTCCTCGGCGGGAGGTCGGCGCGGAAGCGAAACGAGGGCGGCTCCGCCGGCGGAAGCGAAAGAGGCGTGCTTACGAGACGAGAGAATTCTTGGGCTCCGGGCTTCCAGACTCGGCCACGCGTTGTCCGCAGCCTTTCCGACCTGTATTACTGGTGAGCTTTGTTTTGCGGTCGTGAAGGCTTGGATGTTGGGTCGCTCCGCGAGTTCTGGCCCACGGCCATTCGGCGCGCCACGTTGTCCACTTCGCGGTCCTTGGGCGTCAACGTCCCAAGCTTCTCCTGACCTACTGCCCCGCAGAGCGGAGCGACACACGATCCACTTGCAAAGCACAGCCGCCGCGACACGCTAAGCACAGGTTGCCCACCTGACGAACTACTACAAGTCTTAGTTCGCTGAGGGTGCCGCCGTGTCCGCGGGTACTGTCTTGCTTGCCTTGCTGGCGCGCGCGCAGGCCCGCACAGGCGGGCACCGACGCCGCGGGCAGAAGGAAGAGGAGGAGGTGGAGGATGAGGAGGAAGAGCAGCAATTAAGCAGGTGTGAAGCGTCCTGACCTGCCTACAGGCGCACCAAAGAATGTTGCAACAGTACTTTGTGGTTTGGGCGAACTGTTCTTAGAACAATGATTCTGGCTGAGACCGTCTTTTTTAACACATCGGCTGTATGCCCCATGACCATCTGCCTTCGGTTATTAAAACATGGGTTTGTTCTGAGAGCATGTCGTGGTAGGCCACTGGGAATGCCTGAACGGTCGGCCCCTGCTAAATACAGAGGAAGAGCAGCAGGAGGAGCAGCAGAATCAGTTGCAGGTGGCGGATGAGGGCCCAAACTTGTTCCGATATGACTTCAATTCGCAGCCCCATAGTTCCCGACCCCCCTCCCCCCTCCCAGTTGGTAAATCTTCGTCCCAGATCCGTTTTGAATGGTCCCAGGGACATGGTAGCGGGCCCGAGGGCCGAAATTGAAACGAATGCCCGATTCGAAAGAACACATCGCCGGAGACTTTGGGCATGAAAGCGAGTAGCAGGACGAAGAGACATCCGATGACTTGCTTCTTTGCAGCACGGTTTTTTTCCAGAAGTCCCGGCCCTTCCCCCCCAGGGCCCCCCGCGAGGGCCTCCCGAGGCCGAAAGCGGTGAAACACTGTCGGCGCGAGCATGTCTGGAGCAGGACGAGGAGGAGCTTTGTGGGCCCCAGAAACGGCAGGGCCGTTTATTTCACCGTTTCCCCAAATATGTCCCTTGAAAATGGAAACGGCAAAAAATTGGCGACCGGAAACGGCCCAAAAAACGGCGATCGGAAACGGCAAAAAAACAGCTCCAGGATCGGAACTGGAGCCAGAACCGATCAAACAACGGCGACGGAACCGGTAAAAAAACGGCGTCGGAACCGGCAACAAAAACGGCAAAACGGAACAGGTAACAAAAAGCGGCCCTGTCGTTTCCAGGGCCCACTGAGAGGAGGAGCACCAGGACGAGAAGAGCCCCTCTCCGTGGCCGTGAGGACGTCCCAGCAGGCCTGCTGAGTCGCCCGCCGCCAGGGCGGGGCTGCTGGAGGCGGCGGCGGGCGCCGGCGGCTTCGAGCCCCTGCTGCTGCTGCTGGCGCAGGCCCCAAGCGTCGCGCGCGGGTGGGGCGGAGGCGTAACCCGCCAATGGTCGGGAGCGCCGAGCCCAGATGTGCTCGCGTCGTGAACGAAGGGGAGGTTTTGTTGCCGTCTCGGGCATTGTCCGTTGGGTCTGCGGGCGCGTCGTCGGTTCCCCGAGGTTTCCTTGTCTCGGGATGCGTTCCAGCAGCTGCGTTTCGTCGAGGGCGTTCCTGGGGCTGCCTGGACCGTCCCGAACAGCCACCCGAGGCCCGAGTTATGGCCCGAAAATCAGAGATGCTCGTTTCGTTCGCGGCGTAAGGTTTTTGCCTGGACACGGTCTCCAGGACCCCTCGCCAGGCCCCCGCACGCTTGGGGGCCCCATGCAGGAGACATCAGGGCATCGCATGTCTGCGAACCCAGCTGCTGGCAGGTACCGGGGCTCAGCGCAAACAGAGCTCAGCCATGGCGCCGATCCTGCAGGATCCTGCCAAGCCCGATTTGGGTTGAGCCGTGTTTTGGAGCCGTTCGCGGCCGTGGAGGTGGCCGTACGTGTTGGCTGGGCCGGCTCACCGGGAAGCCCTCCAAAAGTTGCAGCGCCGTTGTTGATGCATGGGCTAAGCCGGGTTTGCGCTGACCTGGGTTACGGTCAGGGTCTCTTGGTTCTCGCGTGTGGCTCCTCTGGTTCTGGCCCAAAATGCTGCGGCTCGACACGCCAACCGCGTCCCGGACCCAGAGCGTCAACGTCCCGAGAGTTCTTTGCCTCCCGCCCCGCGGAGCGGAGCGACACGCATTCCGCTTGCAAGGCGCAGCGTGTCGCCAGGGCAGCCGCCGCGAAAGGCTGAGCAACATTTCCTGACCGTAGCCCACGCCCGACGATCCCCCTGAGGGTCGAGAAGGCCGAAATCATTTCTCCGACGATCTGACTCTCTCAGTCCTGGTGCGTTGTTCCATTGTCGCGGCCGGCGTCCTCCATCGGGCCCACCAGGACCACCAACAATGGATCCCGGGCGGAGAAGTTGCCCGGCGTGAAGGAGGTCAGGACCTCTGCATGGGGCCGTGCCTGAAACACATCGTATTTCCGGATGTCCCGAACGAGGGGGGTGGGGACCAGGAGGGGTGGGGGTGGGGATCTCCCAGATTCTATGGCCCCCTCTCGTTCTTTCAGAGCGTCCCCATGGCCCCTCCTCGTTCTCGCACGCTCCTCGGGCCCTGGCCACCTTCTCTGGCAAACCCGAGAGGGTAGGAGAACAAACAGTTACCCTGTGACGTACCCAACTCATGCGCATCAAGTGGCAGGAGGAGTTGGCCCAAACTTGCCAGTACAATGACAGTGCATGCGCCGTTATGTGTTGTGCCAGATACATGGAATGCGCTCACGTGCCACGATTCACAGGACAACAACAGAAGGACGAGGAACGAGGGCCAAGGCTTGATGAGTTCATGGGGGCGGGAACGAAGGGCAGGAGAAGGACGCGCGACGGGTCGAACCGTCAGCGCGGCAGCAGCAGAGGAAAGGTGGCAGGGGGCAGAGGACGACGACGAAAGCGACGGGAGAATACCGAACAGTGTTGCTTTTGTCGGTGGTACGCTAAAGCTGCAGCCCTCTAAAGTGGCGGCAGTTTCACATATCGCAGCCCCACAGGGTTGGCGAGGACTCCTGGTGGTCCGCGTAAGGCGTCACTCCGCTGGACCCCACAGCAGCCCTCGAAAGGGGCAACAGTTTCGCAGATCGCAGCCCCAACGTGATGGCGAGGTTTCGTCTGAGTCTGGGTAAGACGTCAGTCCACTGGGCCCCCCAGGAGCCTTCGAAATCCCACAGGGATGGCGAAGTCTCATGTGAGTCTGGGTAACACGGCAGCCCGCTGGACCCCCCAGCTGCCCTCGAAAGTGACGACAGCCTCACATATCGCAGCCCCAAAGGGATGGCGAGGTCTCACGTGAGTTTGGGTAAGACGTCAGTCCGCTGGACCCCCCGGTAGCCCTCGAAAGTGGCGACAGTTGCGCAGATCGCAGCCCCACGGGGATGTCGAGGTCGCACGAGAGTCTGGGTAAGACGTCACCGCTGGACCCCCCAGCAACCCTCGAACGTGGCGACTGTTTCGCAGATCGCAGCCCCAAAGGGATGGCGAGGTTTCGTCTGAGTCTGGGTAAGACGTCAGTCCACTGGGCCCCCCAGGAGCCTTCGAAATCCCACAGGGATGGCGAAGTCTCATGTGAGTCTGGGTAAGACGGCAGCCCGCTGGACCCCCCAGCTGCCCTCGAAAGTGACGACAGCCTCACATATCGCATCCCCAAAGGGATGGCGAGGTCTCACGTGAGTTTGGGTAAGACGTCAGTCCGCTGGACCCCCCGGTAGCCCTCGAAAGTGGCGACAGTTGCGCAGATCGCAGCCCCACGGGGATGTCGAGGTCGCACGAGAGTCTGGGTAAGACGTCACCGCTGGACCCCCCAGCAACCCTCGAACGTGGCGACTGTTTCGCAGATCGCAGCCCCAAAGGGATGGCGAGGTTTCGTCTGAGTCTCGGTAAGACGTCGTTCCGTTGGAACCCCCAGCAGCCCTCGAACGTGGGGATGGTTCCACAGATCGCAGCCTCACAGGGATGGCGACGTCTCATGTGAGACTGGGTAGGACGTCGCTCGGTGGACCTCCCAGCAGCCCTCAAAAGTGGCGACCGTTTCGCAGATCGCAAACCCGCAGGGATGGCGACGTCTATTTGAGAGCGGGTAAGACGTCAGTCCGCTGGACGCCCCCACTGCCCTCGAAAGTGGCGACAGTTGCGCAGATCGCAGCCCCACGGGGACGACAAGGTTTCGCGTCAGTCGGGCTAAGGCGCCAGTCCGTTGGACCCCCTAGCAGCCTTTCGAAAGGAGCGACAGTTTCACAAATCGGAACCCCACAGGAATGGCGAGGTTTCACGTGAAACTGGGTGAGACGTTTCCGTTGGACCCCCCCCCAGCAACCTTCGAAGGTGGCGATAGTTTTGCAGATCGCAACCCCAAAGGGATGGCGAGGTCTCACGTGAGTCTGGGTAAGACGTCGTTTCGCTGGACCCCCCGGCTGACCTCGAAAGTAAAAACAGTTTCGCAGATCGCAGCCCCGCAGGGATGGCGAGGTTTTTCTGAGAGTGGATAAGACGTCAGTCCGCTGGACGCCCCAACAGGCTTTGAAAGTGGCGACAGTTGCGCAGATCGCAGCCCAACAGGGATGGCCAGCTAGGAAACAAGCTGGCACGCAGGAGGGAAGGAGAGAAGAGGAGGGGGAAGGCAGGAGCGGAGCAAACGCGCGCAGTGCTCTATTCAAAGCGAGTGAGGCTTGGGAAATCACATGTGAACCCGTAGACTTGTGCGTTCGGAGGTCCGCGCGGAGTTATTGGGTCGGCGTTGGACCCCCCCTTGTGACGCGGCAAAGTTCCAGGCCAACTGCAAAATCGAGGATCGTCGCCGTAGATCTCGGAGGCGGAGGGCGGGATGAGGCAGATGGGGAGAAGCAGACGGAAGGCTTGGGCGATCCTTACGAGGATGGCATGCGCTCGGACTTCCGAGCCCGACAGTGTCGGATGCCTGCCACGGATCAGTGTTGTTCCGCAGCCCTCTTGTGCAATTCAGGCCCTCGTGGAAAGAGCAGCATGGCGCATCTTCCCTCCTCCCTTCCTGCCGCCTCCCGCTTTTTTTGTTGCCCCTCTCCGCGTCCATCTTGCCCATTTCGCCCATGTCGCCCCCTGCTCTCTTCTGCGTGCGGTGGCCTCTCCCCTGGCCCTCCCCCGGGTGCAGCCTGCCGTGCAGCTTGACACCACTTCCCTGGAGGAGGAGGAGGAGGAGGAGGAGGAGGAGGACACGAGGAGCAGGATTCGGAGCCTCGAGCGGCGGTGGCGCTCACCACTCCGCCCGCGCCGCGCCGCAGCGCTCCCCGGCCGCTCTCACATCCGCCAGGCACTTTTTGGTCTGCGGGTCGAGAGCGAGCCTCTTCCAGTTAAAAGCTAGGCGGGCTGCGCAAAGCTCTACTTGGGGAGACAGGGCACAGGCGGGCGGGGCCTCAGGCGGCCGGAGGGCGAGCCGGGGTGCAGGCGGCCACATCCGCCAGGCACGTGAGCGTCCGAGGAGCGACGCCCCGGCCCCACCCATCCCGAGGGGCCTCCTGAGACATGCCGCTGCAGCACCGCGCCGCGGCTCTCGCCGCGAGATGTGGCTCTCCGCGACTCCAGCTCCGTGGCCCGACACCACGCTGCTGAAGCGCCAGCCTCCTCCTCCTCCTCCTCCTCCTCCTCCTCCTCCTTCTCCTCCTCCGCCTCCTCCTCCTCCTCCATCTCCTCCTCCTCCTCCTCCCTCCTCCTCCTCCTCCACTTCATAGGCTCAGGGCCTCTTGGAAGGCTGGCCTCTCCTCCTCCTCCTCCTCCTCCTCCTCCTCCTCCTCCTCCTCCTCCCGTGCCTCCTCCTCCTCCTCCTCCTCCTCCTCCTCCTCCTCCTCCTCCTCCTCCTCCTCCTCCTCCTCCTCCTCCTCCGTCCGTAGCCATTTTGGCTCAAGTCCGTAGCGTGAGGCTCAGGGCTTGACGAGTGGCGTGGGGGGATCCACGGCCCCCAACTGCTTTCGCCTGTTGCAAGGCACATATCCTCGACACATCCTCGAGACAGTACCGCTGTATTGCTCACACCTCTTCCCGCGTTCCATGGCTAATGGTTCCTCTTCGCATGCCGCTGCCGCGAACAAGTCCGCAGCTGTCTCGGATCGCAGGACCTGGGCCGCCCCATGGCTCTGCCGCTGGTGTACGCACCCGCGCACAGGGGCCAAATGGTGGAATCGGGGAGATTGCCAGCAATGTACCAGCTGTCGAGTTGCTAAGGGGGCCAGCTTCGGAGGCCCCAAGCCCACCGACGGCCCACCTACACAGAGGCCAGCCTCGACCAGTGTGCGGCGCAAAGGGGACAGTGTGCCGCCTTGGTCAGATGTGGCGGCCAAGGACCGCGAGATCGCGCAGCTCAAGGCACAGCTCAAGGCGGCCAGCGCCCCTGCCGTGGGCGAGGGAG